CTTCCAGCTTTTAATGGTGGAGGAAAGACCTCAGGTTGCCCTTCCGTGCATTATTTCAAGACACGAAACGGGCACCTGAGATTAGGAACCACCAGACGTTCCGTACGCTAGCTGGGATTTGGCTTCCTCACATGAAACAAGGGAATCCAAAAGTTTCCCTGTCCGGGATTGAACCCACAGTGGTGAGGGGCAAGTATGGGGTTTGAAGTCAACGACCATTTTTTTTTTTTCAAACCACTCCCGGCCACGGACCGCCCCACTCAGAAGAATTTGAAAAACGCCTTAAAAATTAGGAGTTTTAAATAACTCCAACGTACGAACTTTATAAGTCCTTCGTAGGAGATAAAAAGGCCTAATTAGGAGTTTGTAAAGTGGCCGTTTTTGTTAAACATTGTTTACGACTTTGGGTTTAAAAAATTTTTTATACCATTACCAAAAAAATCGTTTACCCCTGGTTACAAAGGGTTTACAAGAATAAAGGGCCAATTTGGGGAGACGGACTGGAAAAAAAAAAAGTAACAAAAAATACCTTCACCCAAATCTTTTTTTCTTGCTAAAATTTTAAAAAAAAATCCCAGCTCTGCCCCAAAACTTACTGGAAAAATTAGCTAAACAATTATATCAAAAAAATATAAAAAAAAAGAAAACCCGACACTAATTTTGTTTTTTAAATTTTTAAACTTGGCCCTCGCTGTTTAAAAATTTTTTTGAAAAATTAACTTTGCATTTTAAATTAAAACTATTGTGAAACGTCGGTTTTTTTTCTAATTTAAAAAAAATATAACAATGTTCTAAATTTTGTTAAAGTTAAATAATATTTTTATTTTTAAAAAAAGTTAAGGGTTAACGCAGATAGATTAATTGCATTGATATCGAGATTTTTAAATGAAAGCCATTAATTTACTGCTTTAGATGGGAGTGGTAGGCATAACTTTTCAGTCATAAATCTAAGTAGAGTTACCCATAAAATAAATGTATTGTAATATGACGGATTGATGCAAAACGTTTTATTTATTCCCGAGCAGCTTTAAAATTCACGAGATTTTATAAATGTGTATACCATTAAAGACAGGTTATTCCTTTGCATTATTAAAAGCCCCCCTCTCTCCCCCCCCCCCCCCCCCAAAAAAAAAAACAACTATTTTTTCTTTTATCATACTACCCCGCACTGAGAAAACTTGTGCTCGCTGCTCATTAGACAGCTCTTGTTTTATTCAAAGTTTTACTTCAGCTTTTCATTATATGTTTTTCATCAATTGTATCATTTATATTGTGCTTAAATTTAGCATAAACAGTTCCTAAAGTATCTGCCTTAAACGCAGAATATTCTTTTTTCTTTACTCAATTTTCCTACACGAATTCGAATAAATGTTCCTTATGAACACCTACATCTTGTTTGATAAGATTCATAAGTCTGTCAATTGTTTTTCAAGAATTATCTCTATTTTGAACTATGATTCGTTGAAAATTGTTCTTTTCAAAAGTTATCTTCTTTTTCAACTTATAACTTTGCTTCTTATTAATGATAAAATATACTTTTTACTCTTATTATATTTGCTGCGGAAGAGATTTACTACAGATTTCAGATTGCTGACTTTTGAATTACAAAATATTTTCAGTTTCAATTTCATTGTGTAAAATATCGGATATTTCAGTGTTTTCTTTTTACTGATACAAAATGATATCATAATTGACATTTTCCAAAGTGGTGTTTTTTTTTTTTTTTTTTTTTTTGCTTCATCCAGTATTAGTATTCACCTCATTCTTTTCACGCCATTAAGGTATATTTCTGTTTCTTTCAGGGGAAGAAGGCTTCTATAACATTGCACATATGACTAACACACCGAACAGTGTCAACTGGGCGCTCGATAAAGGTGCAAACGCCGTTGAGTTAGATTTGAACTTTGACAGTTCATCTGGTTCTCCGCTCTTATTCCGGCATAGCAAAGCTGGGGAGGCATGTGATTGCTCGTGTTTATGCCCCGCCCCAATTTGGTGGGTATGCAGTTTTTTATATCCCAATACCGTGTGTGCAAAGCTGTTGGGTGACGTTAGAGGAATGTCTCCGTGCAGAGCAGAATCTTCCATGACAACTATGTTGAATTTTCTCGCAAAAAAGTCTAGCCTCGCTTTGGTAATTATCGACTCAAAAATCGACAGTGATGATATGGACTCTAATAAAATGAAATCTGCAGGCGGTATGGTAGCGTCGAGTTTAATCAAACAACTTTTTCAGGCAGGTTACGGTGGAAAAGTTATAATTGGATCCCCCAAGCTTGACACTTTGCCGTATTTACAGGCAGCTGTCGGTGCCTTACAGGGCTCGCAGTATCAGAGTCGTGTTTATTTTACCATCGACCTTGAAAAAAACAACATTGTTAACACACTTAAGGAGCTGCACAAACTACCGACACGCAATATTGTATATGGTACAGGAATTACCATATGTTTGTCAGCTTCCACAATAAAACAATCTACAATGGAGCTTGCTGCTTTGAATAAAGCCAAAGGCGTGACTGGCCTTACCTATCTCTGGACTGTCGATAAGGAATCAACATTAAAGGACAATCTCCCATTCATTCAGGGCGTCCTCTCGAACACTCCAGGAATGGTTAATAAGATTCTTCGAGAAAACGGTATAAAACTAGCAACCCAGTCAAGTATTATACCTCAGGCGACCAGCTCCGACGTAATTACTAGTTCGGAGAAGCTAAAATGCGACTGTGATTATCACCCGGGCGGCTGTTCCATCAGCCGACCAGCTCCTTCAGGTATGGCTTGTCATTGTGAATACAAAGGAGCCTGGACATGTGGAGGAAGCGTGTCTCAATGTCGGAACCCAAGCTCCCATTACTGCTCTAATCCCGATTATTCTGTACAGTCATGTCTCTTAGGGGGCGGTGATTGTGAAGGGTATAAATCAGCCACGTGTGATTGTGATTACCACCGAGGAGGTTGTTCAATAAGTCAAGCTCCGCCTCCAACCACGGCATGCCGATGTTCTTACAAGGGATTTTGGACATGTGGCGGAAGCATAACAAGGTGTAAAGATTTTAACAGCCATTACTGCTCTTTCCCAGACAAGTCCATTTACACGTGCCGCCTTGGGGGAGGAGACTGTGATGGATACTGATTTAGAACGTACATGTTCGAACTTATATAAAGCCTTGTTTTGTTTTGAAGTTATTAGTAAAAAATTGTTTTGTCATTGATATCTTCTGGAAATATAACACAACATCTCATTGTGGATTAAATATTTCTTTGCTTTACTATCTCAATTTTTTTAAGAAAAAACAGAGCTATCGTCATGGCCCTTTCTATGGTGTTGTTTTTTTCCGTCATGGTTCATATCCTCAGAAATTATCGAAGCTGTTCTTTTCACACTTGGTGTACTTTTGTATACTTTTTCGCTATTTCAATAAACAGCCGTTAAGAAATGTAAGATAATGCAAAGTTATGCCCCTACATGACTTAGATTTTTTGTTGTCCTAAGCTATATGATAACGTTCATTTCTTCAAAATTATTAAAATGATTCATATAAATTTTGAGTACTTTTTTCCCTTTCATAATTATTATTTTCAAAAGAACGGATTAACATTTTTGCCGTTATGTCCCTTATTTTAGCTAACCAATGCACGAACAACTACTTGAGTGATGATGTGTTGTTCGGCGTCCCTAGCGTTCGATAATTTCTTTTAATAACATCACCTTCTGAACCAACTGAGGGATTTTTTCAACTTCATAGAAATGATCTTTAAATGACCTACAAAAGTTGAGTGAATGTTTCCAGTCTTATGTATAAGTATATGAAAACAAATCTTTAAACTCATCTGAGAAACTATATTGTTCACCCACCACATTTTGGTCCTTCCTTGTATGAATTATGACCCTAAGGTCAAAGTTAATCAAGCATTGGTATCATTTTGTTTTCTTATTGCAAAGGAAAATAAATTTGAATGTTTTCTGTGATTGAATGTTCTAGAGATTAGTTTTTTTGGCATTTAACAAGGCTGATTAATTGGACTTCAAATCAATTGCCATTCACCGATGTGGATTAGAATCCCGTTAGGGTCGAATCCCGCTAGGAATTTAGGATTCTTTCTTGTAATGACGGTATCTAATCATGTAACAGAATGTTCAACTTGGTGGTTCTACTCGGGTACCCGTACGTTCCTGAAATTATTAGGGGGATGTCTGGTATCCTCCACCAGTCTGTCGTCAATTTTGTAATGGAAATTCGGTTCTCTTGCTAAAGAGTAAATTTCCAAATCATACCACTTTTACTTTCGAATTTCTGTTGAAAATAGGAAAATAATAGGAAAGTCATATTATACCTATTAGGTGTGGAAACTAATTTTCAAAATAAATCAAAAATAAATTACATAAAGTACATGGTATTTAGGTAGTGACCTACAATATGAAACCAACCAGTACTGGTGTCATATGAAAAAAGATGGTCGTGACCCAAGTAAGCCTTGGGTTGAGAGGCAAGACACCTTAACCGACCCAACTTGCATGATCTAAATACAGATGCCCTGCTTTATTATTAAATATTATATATACTTGTTTAAGGTACTCAACTGAGGTCCAAAAGCCTAAAAATAAAAAAAAATGATTTCTTCAATAAATCTGTTGGGCCACTTTAAACAGAAAGGTATGCATAAGATTATTAAAAAAACATACTAAGAAATACATTGAAAATCGTACTGTTGAGCCGTTCTTAGACAGATTTGAATGAGAAACGTTGCAACGCTTTCAGTTTTAGGTCATTTTTCACAATTAAAATAATTATTCTGGAAAAACGGAATAAGCTAATGATATGGTATTTGCACGCAAATAAAAAAAAATTCCAGTCCTGTCATGTCAACAGAATACAGTCGAGTCCCTTTAAGCAGTTTTGGTATGCATCACATTCATTTCAATTTCTTCTATTGGTACGCATTTTCATATCACGTGTTTTAAAGGTAAGTGCTTATGCAGAGAGGGGAATAATAAATAAAGCTAATCAGCCTTAATATAAAATCTGGAAAATGTATATGTAATAAAAAAAACAATCCGAATATACTTCTAATGAACATCAACATTTTATGTTGAAAAACCTCTTACTATTTAATTGTATCATAAAACAGCGTTTTGGTTTACTTCATTTCCATTAAGGATTGTTAAGGAAATACTATTATATCTAATTTGATGAAATTCTCCTTCATTCCTTAATGACTCGTAGGGTAACTTAAACAATGCATAGTACTGTACACGATGTAGTGACATGATCAAATTCACATTTGACGGAAATAAAAAACGATATATTTGAAAGTGTTACGTGAATCTGAGGGAAGCAGAGTACATAAAAAGATCGTTAGTTGTCTTCTTGTCTTGTTAAAAAAACACTTCATAAGTATAAAAACACCTTTGACATACTTTAAGGTAATTGTGAAATTAATGACTCAAGTTAAGTGATTTGCTTAATTATCTTATTACTGTATTAAGGCAATATTCTCCCAGGGAAAGCTTTTCAAGCGTTTGGTACACACAATTTAACAATAATCAGTTCAAGAAGTTCATCTCCTATAAAAAATAAAGTAACAGTTTTCAGGAGGATCTCACCTGAAAAAAATTCGTTGCGTAATTCAATGCAAGAGTGTCATGGTGGTGTTTTATCGCTCACCCGAGTTACATTATTAGAAGAGGTGGAAAAGTCAGAAATATGGTCGCATTGAGTTTATCATCTATAATTGAAGCTTTAATATAATATTTGCAGATGTCAACTACATGTCAAAATCCTTATCTCTGTGCGTGTAGTTTCACAAAAAGACCTAAATGAGTTTGACAATGTAAATCATTTTAAACTAAGTGACGCTTTCTCACCCCCAGGGTTATATAGGGTAATACCTTTTTTGTAAATGATCGAAATGTAATGCTACATGTCAAATATCTAAACTCTTTCTGTGGAGAAGCTTTATAAAGATTTCATTTTCAAGTCGCTTTTAAGCTCATATGACCTACGTATGCGTCAAACTAGAACCATTGATAAATATGACTTTTGTAATCGGCCACCTTATGAACTTTCTGTGTAGCTTTGTAAAAATCAACCTTGTCATCATGTGGAAATGTTGTTTAACGTGATTGCGGATGCACTGTCCACATAAACACTGCCATCTCTGAGCAATTTGTGCTAAGGTGAGCTAAACACAAAAGGTGTATGTAAGAAAAGTTTACTGCAGACACTGCTGCCTCATATGTTTTAGATATCCGTCCATATGTAATTTATATAGCAGGTCTCGAGTCGAAAACAACTTCATGAAAAAACTGACAAAAAATTGTTACAATTATATAAAAAAGCAGATATGAATTACAAAAGAATAACTTTAAGTTTCATATACCTCCCATTTCTTATTCATTATTTTCCTCGTTTTATTTTCTTCTTTGTTAGAAACAGGATGTTATAAATGTATGCGATCTAACATTGCATACCTGTTTTACATTTATAAACACGTGCCCTGCGTTTTAAAGGTAGGAACATAGGTTATCAACCGGGATTTCCAACTTGTCTTGCTTTTTACATAAATCATTTGAATACACTGGGTTATCTTCGATTTTTCGCTACATGTTGTACCGCATACATTTTTATTTATTTTATTTTATTTGCTCGAAAGTATTTTTTATTTATTT